TATGTTTTCAGGGATTTCCTGTTTGCAAAAATGTTCTGCATCCTTGTCTTAGTGTAATGTGCATGATGGTTCTATGTTTAGTTTCGGCTACACAGAAATATCCACTGTATTGGTTCCATGTACTGCCTGCTGGTGTGCTGGCTGGGAATGGAAATGGAGAACAGGGATCAATAAAAGCTGAAATTCTCACAGGAACTGCTCTTTTTGTACTTTATTCTTTTCCAATAAAAATATACTGAGGGAAAAAGAAGCAATGAAATCGAGCCATGCCACTAAATCAGTTTTGTCAGCCTGTGAAGCACTTTTTATTTCAGCTATTCAGCACCACTTCCCCCTTTAAACTCATATTATCACACACAATGAAGCACTGCAGAGGTGTTTTAGTATTCCTCTTTATGTTGTTGAATTTGTGTCTTTCTGGGGGGTTTTATTTGTTTGTTTGTTTCTTTGGCTTGGTCTGTGAGGACACGGCCACATATGTGTGTTTACGTCTGTGCATTTAATGCTAGATAGTATCTCCGTCCCTGAGGTTGTGTTGAGCTGTGACAGACTCTGTGAAATTTGAAAAAAGGTCACTGAACAAACTGCTGTCCTGCCCTATGCTGTGTTCTGTCACATGTGTAACACATATCACCCAGCTTGAGGAAGACCAAACTCTCTTCAGGGCCTTAGATGCATAATTTTAAGTTTGAGCACCCATGCATGTCGGTGCACGTGTGAGAGCAAAAGCACAGGGTTTCCATACGTGATACGTGAGTAAGTCTGAGTTACAGAAGAAAGCAGTAAGCAAAGTTGCTGTGTATATAGTGTGTCACTGGCTCAGAGGTCTCTTTTAAACTCAATTATTCCGATGTGCCTTCCCTCTTAGTTCCAACTCAGTGATACATGCTAATATAAAATTAGTCCCACTTTAATCGTCTGATCTTTATTTGCACATGCTGTTATTACAAATCACAATAAACCAGATCTCCTGCAACCAGATCTCCGAATAAATTAAGGTTGCGTGATTGTCAAGTCGCGGGGACGTGAGAGTTTTCTCCTGTGTTCTCTCACACAGGTTGTACTGAATCCACTGGCAATGTTTGCATGCACATAGAGTATTAACTATTTAACATTTAATGGTTTTAATTACCACTAAAACACCAAGTGATGAAGTTTGCATTTAACTAAAATCACGCTGCACTGCTATTTGTGTTGTGACCAGCTCTTGGAACTACAAAGGCAAATTTCCTGCAAGCCTCCTGAACTAAAAGTGGTACGGCTCAGGCACTACGTGATTTAAAGTGTATTCTGCCATTTTCTAGCTCGAGTAGCACCATCCCAGCCGTAAATCATATACTCTGCTTATATGAAGACTCCTCTGTGCTGCCATTATCTGCACCATTATTATCCTCTTAGAATTTTTCCAAGTTCTGTCATTTCAGTCACTTATGTGAGGTGCTCGGTCTCTTACGTAAGCTTAAAATTTCATTTTTAGATGCAGAGATTGCAAATACAGCAGGCCCCACTAGCAAGATACACAAACGGGATAGGTTTTACAGGTATGTAATGCATTTTTCTCACTCATTCTATCTCACCGTCGCACTGGATGTCACACTAAATCTCCAACCAACAATGACACACTTAGGCAGACGTGTTTACACAGCACCAAAATCCTAGGAAAACAGTGAGTGAGAAATACTTTTAAAATGTGAGATACATGAGAAATATTGTTTTCATTTCATACACTACTGAACCAATATAGAGAATACCTCATTAAAATTTCATTGAATCACTTATTTGCTTCCTGATAATGCTTGTTTGCATATTAATTCGAACGTAAAACAGACAACTATAACAGAAACTCTTCCAGATTTGGGCTTTTGGAGATATATAAACAAGCTGTACTATAAACAAAATTATATTATTGCGTGTAATGAGGGTTCAGAAGAAGGACAGAGAACAAAGGAGCAGCACAGTCACCTGATATGTGACCTTAGCTACTCAGGTATGAGGATGCTTTGAAAATCTATTCTATGCCCTGCTGCTCTGAACTGTTCAGGCTGCCAGTATGGGCAATGCAACATTATATGATGTGATGTGAAGTTGACTTTGCACGTTTCACCACAGTTGAGAACAGCCCTGCAGGCAGCAAAGCATGAAGACAGACCAAAAGGTCTCAGATGTGGAAAGCAGTTTGACCTTGAGCAAATGAAATGAAGGCATTGAGGCTGAAGTCCATTTTATATAAGTGACCAGAGAGGAAGGTTGAACTCTCAATTCACAACCAGCGCTTCGGCTCGCACATCGAGTTTTCTTTTCGTGGTTTCAGGAAAATGATCTGTCTTCCACTTCAGTAAAGCAGCTTTCATTTCTAAAGGTTACAGAAGGTGTTTTTGTTACTCGAGTCCCTTTAAATTAAGCAAACTGAAAAGGTGCTAGCTGACACTTTTGTTGAATCATGTGTGATGTTTTGTGTTCAGCTCAAAGGGAGCAGGGAGACAGTGCCATGTCTGTGTTTAGAAACTGCAGAAGCCAACGAGAGCGTTTGGCGGTACAGTATCGAGCATAAGAGCAAAGGCGCACACTGACACAGAGGAAGGAATAACAATGAACGTCGTGCCGCAGTGTTGTGTGACTCTTCTGTGAACAAAGATGAAGTGCAGCACAGAGGTGTTGTGTGTGTGTGTGTGTGTGTGTGTGTGTGTGTGTGTGTGTGTGTGTGTGTGTGTGTGTGTGTGTGTGTGTGTGTGTGTGTGTGCACGCGC